CGTCATCAAGGCCCCGGTGGCGAGGCCGCGCGCGGCGGCTGGGTCGCCGACCGCGCGCCCATCGGCGCTCCCCACCCCACTCTCGACGCTCGCCGCCGCCCCTGTCGTCGGCGGTCTCTCACGCCGTCCACGTGAGGAACGCTGACGCGGATGCCGGCGCCGGGCCGCCGGATGGACGCGGCACGGCACGGCGACGCGCCGCCGCCGCCGCCGCCGCCGCCGCCGGACGCAGAGCGCCTCGCCCATGCGTTCCACCACGGCGTCTGGCTGCCGCGGCGCCGGCAGCGGCTGGCGACGGCCGCGGCGCCGGCGTCCCAGGCCGCCGCTTCGCCGTCGAATCCCGAGGCGCCGCCGCCGTCGGACGCCGTCGCCCCGCAGTGCGTCATGGCGCCGCACGTTGCCGCCATGGCCCCGCAGACCCGCCAGCAGGGCCCGAGCTGCGGGCTGTGGGCCCTCGGCGCGGCGCTGCCGGCCTTCCGGGCGCCGTCCGAGGACGCGGGCCGCGGCGGCGCCGGCGCCGTGGATCTCGCGACGCAGCAGCGGCTGCTCGCGCTCGCGCAGTCGCTCGGCGTGTCCGCCTACGGCGAGTGCTTCAGCGTCGCGGCGCTCGCCGACGTCGCGCAGCACGCGATCCGCGCCGCGGGCGCGCCGGCCATCGCCCGGGTGGCGGCGTTCCCGACGGCCGCGCAGCTCGTCGCGTCCCTCGACCGCGGCGGCCTGCTGCTCGTGCCCTACGACCGCGATGTAAGTCCTGCGACGCTGCGCGCCCTGGCGCGCATGCTGCGACGCCTCCCGCCTCGTCTCGCTGCCACTCACCAGACTCACCCCCGCCATGGCTCTGCTGGATGGTCGCTGGCTGATGCCTCAGCGCCAGAACGAGCCCAGCTGCCGCGGCGGCCATGCCGCGCACTGGGCCCTCATCATGGGCTATGTCGTCGACGCGCCCGGTCGCGCCGATGGGCCCGCCGCGGGCGAGCCCGACCCGGCAGCCGACCTCGTCTTCGTCACCGGGGCGGGCGGCGGCCGCGGCGTCCCTGCCGACCACGTCGTCGGCGTCGTGGCGGCCCACGGCATGTCGCTTCACCGGACGGTCTGGGACCTCGCTGCCCTGCGCGCCAGCAACGCGCAGCTGGCCTGCGTGTCGCCGCGCGTGCGCGGGGCCGAGGACGCGCGGCCGCGCGTGGCGGCGCGGCCTGCGCCGATGGCCACGACGACCCCCACGACGACCATCACCCGGACACCCCCGCCGAGGGCCCCATACGTCCTCTGGCCCGAGAGCGCGGGCGGCATGCAGCTGGCCGGCCACGTCGTCCTCCTCGTGCCGGCCCCAGCGATCGCCTGAAGCCGCAGCCCCCGGTAGTGGATCTCCAACAGCAGCCACATAGCCCTCCGCCCCTCGCCATCGTGACCACGGGCCTTGCACCAGGGACATAAAAAAAGAATCTCGTGATGAGCGGGGAACGTTGAATTACAGAGAGCGTCTGGCCGCCGAGGCTTATCGCGGCTTGCTCGGCTGGGCCCAGTCGACGCCGAGGATGAGGTTGCCGTAGGCGTGGCCGTCGAGACGGTCGATGACGGCCTGGGCGGCGTCCTTGGTGAGGAAGGTGGCAAACGAGTAGCCCTTGCCCTCGCCGGTGATCTTGTCGCGCGCGACGTAGACGCGGCCCACGGTCGAGGACGGCGTGATGAGCGTGACGAGCTCGCGGACGTCGTTCTCGACGGCGTTCGGGATGAGGTTGGTGATGCGCACCGAGAAGCCTTCCTGGATGGGGCGGCCGTAGGCGTCGAGCTCGAGCGACGAGGTCGCGCCCGGGCGGCGGCCCGGCGCAACATAGCGGGCAGGACCGCCGCCGCTGGCATCGACGCTGCCACCGGTGCCGCCGCCGGCCACGACGCCGGCCATGCCCATGCTGGGCGCACCGGCCATGCCGGTGGCGGGCGCGCCGGCAGTCTCCCCGAGGGGCGAGGCGCCCGTGAGCGGCGAGTGGGTCCCCTTGAAGGGACACTTGGAGGTGCGGTGGTTCTGCGAGCAGATGCGGCAGCTCATGGCCTTGGCGATCGTGAGCTTGCGCGCCTCCTCGGCCTCGCGCTGGAACTGGTCCTCGTCCTCCTCGAGCTGCGTCGAGAGACGCACCACCATGTGGTCGCCGAGCGTCGTCGAGTCGGTGTCCGGGCCGGGCGGGCACTGCGCCACGGCGCCGAACTTGACCCAGTTGTTCTTGCGCTCCGTGACCGCGAGCGGCACGAGCGTCTCGACCTTGCGCAGAATCGACTTGCGCGTCGTCTTGATGCGCGTCGTGTGCGAGTCGTCGGCCCAGCGCCACTCGGTTGTGAGGCGCGTGCCGTCCGGCAGCGTCTTGGTCTCTTTCGGCGGCAGCGTGGGCACGTTGCTGGCGCCGCTCGCGGCCGACTCGCTCACGCCCGGGGCCGGAGCGTGGGCCGGCGGCGTCGTCGTCTCCTCGGGGACGCCGGCTTCCTCGAAGTCATCGGCCCAGTTGTTGTTGTTGTTGTTCAGAAAGGCAGCCATGGTGGCAGAAAAAGCAATGACACGTCGACGTATCGTCGTCTCGGGTCCAATACGCGGGGCGGTGTGGCGAGCGGATGGCGGCGCAAGCAGGCAGAAAGCAACCGCTGGGGGGCGTATCACAAGGACGACAGTTGACGGTGGGGTCCGTCGTGAAGCTCGTCTCCTCTCCTGGCACGCGCGATGAACGGGCGCTGGATGGACCGCCGACGGCAGAGGCGGAGGAGGCTTCCGCGCGCGCGCGCCTCAAGTCAGCAGCGCGAGCTGCTGTTCCCCGTTTCAAGGCGTCGCCCCTCGCCTCGCCGAGCCGAGCCGAGCCGAGACGGCGCATACGGGGGTCGGCGCGGCGGCAGGAGACGGAGGCGGGCGGTGGTCGGACCACAGACCAGCACGGCGCAGGCGTCCTCGGCGGGACCCGACGCGGCGGCGGAGCGCCGACGCGGACGCCCGCGGCGGGTGCTCCCCACGCCGCGGGCACTCCGCCAGCCGCCCGCGGCCGCGGCACCCGAACACCCACGCGCGCGACGCGCCGCGGAGCTCGCGCGACGCGCCGCCGGCCCACCCGAACACCCGCCAGCGAAGCGACCCCACCGCCCGCGGCCGCGCCTCATGGCCATGACCCCCGACCGCGAGCGCTAGGGGTCCCCGTCCCGCGCGGGCCTCGCCGCCCCCGGCGCAACCGGCGTTGGCGGGGCGCAGCCATCCCGCATCCGTGTGGCGCAGCCATCCCGCGTCCGCGTGGCGCAGCCATCGCTGGCGACGTGGCCGTCTTGACCGACGACGGGACGCTGAGCCAAGAATGAGAGAGAGCGAGGAGATGAGGAGATGAGCATTCGGTCGCTGGCATGCCGATCAGGGATCGGCCAAAAGGCCGATCGGCCCAAGGCCGCCTTGGCACAGCGGCGCCAGCGCCCGATGCAGAGACCACGGCCTCCTGCGAACCTCCCCCCCCCCCCCCGAGAGGCTAGCGGACCACTCAGAAGCCCTCCCATGGCTGCGCTCGTCTCGCCTAAGTTCGCTGCTGACACACAAGTCGTCTGGCGTCAAAATCCTGCTTGGATGATAGACTCATTTCAACGAACACGGAGGCCCACGCCGACCCAACACGCACCACAGGCCCTCGGTGGTGCCCCCCAGGAGGCCCCACAGAGGCCATACGCCTGTTGGTTCGGGGTAGGATGAGCTTCCCGACCACGGACCGCAGGGCTTGCCCGGGGGATGCGGCACAGCGCTATCGGTCTGTCGGGTAAGGCCAGACAGCGTCGGATGGTCAACGCGGCATCGAGATCGCGGTGCACACACTTGCCGTTGGTCGCTTCACACCACAGCGAACCTCGGACCACGGTCCCCTGGCGCCGGCGTTGGCCGGGTGTCAGGGCCACAATCGTCTGGGCATACACCCGGGTTGGCTCAGTCGGGTGGGCGCGGAAGAGATCGGGACCTTCCTCGGGTCCCGGGTTTACACCTTGGTCAGGATCTTACTCGTCTCGGCATGCATCTGGGTCGTCCGGAAGACGTCGACCAGGACGGTGCGGATCCGCTGGACGCACGCCTTGGATACCCCAGCCGTTGGAACGGCAATCCCCCCTCGCTGCTAGGGCAAACTTGGAGGCCCCATAGGCGATCACCATAGGCTTCATCACCGTGGCCGTCCCCTCGGCGATGCCGTTCAAGAACTGGGCAAACACGCGCTGCTTGCCACGGTACGGCTGCAGGCGCTGGCGTGCCCAGCGCGGCTTCATGTGGACTCCGTCTACAGCGGTTCGTATGTGGCGAGTGTGACCTCCAGAAAGCGGTGGTGTGCGGCGAGCGGTGTACCCTTGAAGCTCACCTCGGACAGCCGCTGCAGCGGCTCTTTCAAATGGCGCGGCCACGTCTCTGACTGCTTTTGGGCGGCTTTCATGCCGGCTTCCACCTAGTACTGCTTTCGGTTCAGCCTCCAGCTGACGACGTGGCCTTTGGACCCCCACCATGGCCATAAAGAAGATGTTGGTGCGGACCGAGTCGTTCCCCAGAGTGCATTGCTCATTCAGGCTGTTTGCCAAGGGGTTCTTGGTCTTGGGGGTAGCCGCCGCAGTCGGCACGGTGTCGGTCACCTTCTTCTGGCGCTGAAAGTGGACGCAGTTCCTTCAGCAGGTTATAGAGCACGCGGTTGTCGATGGTGATCAGCGAACGAACTCGGTTTCATCTGTGGTCGTGTGCGAGTATTCGGGTGTCTCATTTTGGACGTTTGAGTGTTTGAAGCATGAGCTGGGTAAGATTTTACCAAGGGGCACGCCTTGCATACCATGTATGAGACAACGACCATGTCGAATTTCATTGTCATTTTGTACGAGGGAAGACTGATTCGGCGACGAAATCATGAACTTGAGACCATGCCCGAGACAGATTTTGTGCGAGTAGACTCTCAGTAGGGACGGCTTTGTCCCTGGAACGCTTGTTTACGATTGTAGACTCGCCGAACTCTGCAGCGAGAGGGTCAATAGCGCAGTCTGGCAGCGCAATCGCTTTCTATGCGACAGGTCTCTGGTTCAAATCCGGATTGATCCGCTCAATTGTTTTAAGCTTCCTCGCTCAGCTGATGTGCTTCAGGGGCGTGAATTCGCTGTTTTGACTCGGTAGGCTGAGCTTGAGGCAATCCGCTTGCAGTGTAGCCTTGGATGTACTTGCCGATCACATCCCGCAAACGGCCAGGTCCCCACGACGCGGCACGGCGCAGCTGATGGGCGAGGCAGCGTCAGATGTTCATCACGTCATTAGGTTACGGTTCACGACATTGTTGTTAGTGGTATCACACCACAGCAGGCCTGTGACCACGGTCCGCTTGCCTCGACTCCGCGCTTTTTTCAGGATCAGGCCGGTCTTTGTATCCTGGTCCTCTAAAACTCGTTAACCAGCACGGTGTGGAAGCGCTGAGCGCACGCCTTGTTTGCCCGAGATCAGACATGTCGCCCCCTCGGAGAACAAACTTGGCTGTGTCATATGCCGTGGCGGGCTTGCCCTCGAGGCGACGCCGTTGGCGACGCCGTTTAGGAAAGTGGCAAACAAGCACGGCTTGCCT